TCTTACTCGGGCACTGCTATTTTTATTTTGACGGAGAAGTCAGCCGGATGTATGACCGATGAAATTTTTATCAAAAGCGCGATAAATCTCAAACGGAACTTGGCCCCGGTTTCTACAAGCACTTTTCGTCTTACACATCTGCATTTCGCATGATCTTTCGCAATGATTGCACGTTGCATTGTTCGGCCGGTCGCAAAGTGTTGTGCAAAGTTGTCACATGCTGTTTTAAACCGGGAAAATCGTCGACCAGAATATCAGTAACGGCATCGTTTGACATTTTTATTGCATCAACGAGGTACAATTCACGTAAATGGTAATATCGTGCCGTACTCGTATTAATTATTACGATTGACTACGCATATAAGACGCATCGGCCTCCGCGCGTGTCAGACGCGAATAAAGCGTATTCAATTTATCGTACGCGCAAACTTGGCCATTAGCATTAATGTTATTTACGCGCTCATGCTTGTATATTAAAAGGTATAAATTTCGTGAAACAAGGTCATGTACGGAGAATCGCCGAAAGGTTCGCGCAGACCGGTTGCATTTAATCTAAATAAAGTATAGGCGACATTTAACAATACGATGGATGAAAATTAATGTTTTCTTAAATCGTGTGTATGCACGAAATGCATCTTTTTAAATCGTCGTATTCTCCGTTGAATAAATATTTCATTTGAATATAAAATATTTGAACATGTATGTAAAATCATAATTTAAATTGCATTTATCACTTTGTGAGTAACATACAAATAAATAATCTTCTCTCTTTTATATACGTCTGATTAAACGGGTCTCAAAATACAACGCGAGAAAAGATTATAAATATAAACAAAGTAAAATATCTGATATTTTTCCTATAACGATTTGCTTTTTAAAATGCTATTGATTTGATAAAGAATTCTTATTGGTAAATTAATTTTCTTTCTCATTTGGTTCTGTTATTTATTGCATTTATAATGAATTATGCAGCCTTTTACGATAAAAGTATATTTTGTTTCTCATAGGGAATGTCATGCTTTATTTTTATTTTCGAAAAATTTTTCTTTCATAAATCAAAACTTTCATATTTTATTTTATTTATAATTAAAGAATCGACGAATCAAACATTAATTTATAAATATCGTAGTGTCAAAAACGAATCTTGAATCGAATTTCGAGGTCACCGATGGCATCAAGGTCATCAGGTTTCTATCGTTAATAGACATAGTCCATCCGTATTATTTTAATCGCGTCTTACATAATTCTGTAGTATTCAAAAAAGAAAATTTTTTATTCCTATATTTCAATGCTTTCCAAGGATGATCCTCATTAACATTCTTAATCCATTCGAGATGTCGATGAACCATCGCAACAGCGGTTTACCATCTTGATAGTTACACAATAGAGAGTGCAACCCACAAAGTCGCAAAAAGATATAATTTTTTATGTATATATTATACATAATTGTTTATAACTTAATATCATGTTTATTATTTTATTTAAATATTATAAAAATTTATATTTAATAGCATTTCCTGATTTTTTGATAACTAGGTATAATAGCAATTTTTGTAAAAAGAAATATTATTTTTCATTCTAATTTTATTATCTATTGTTGTATTTTATACTTTGATTTTTTTGTACATTTAAGCGGAAGAGTTGCATCGAGTTCGAATGACGTGATTTTACAATCGAAGAAAATCTTAAGCATTCCATTATTGGCACGCATCATCAATTGATGTTGCGACTATTACAAGCGCGCGTAACAGGTGTTCGAGAAGTTACCAGAGTTGGCAAAAGTGTTACATCAGCGAAAAGACGATGTGACCGTCGTAAATGGGATAGCACATGTAAAATACTCTTACAAATCAGGATTTACTAAAGCGTGAATCATAATCAAAACAATTTTTTACTACAAATAAATCGCATTTCAAAAAACATAATATTATCCAATTAATTGTTTTGCAATTTTCTGTGATTTTCTATTTAACAAATAATTTTATAAAATTGTTGTATAATAAAACGTTGTATAATATACATAAAATGTTGTATAATAACAGATACAAAAGATCCTCCTATTATAGAGGAAGAGAAAGAGAGAAGATATTCATCCTTAATATCCTTGGATATATTCTTCTAAATATAATAAGAAAGAGAGGGGAAAAGAGAGGGAGAGAGAGAGAGAGAGAGAGAGAGAGAGAGAGAAAACCGCAATATTTAAATAGATTAATATCATTATTTCCTTGCTACATGTATATATTTATAGCCATTATCTTTCCACTTTTATGATTACGTCCAAATATAAATTAATATATGTATAAATACATTGAAAAATTATTATAATAATTATAAAAAAAAATACACTAATATTAAATTTACATTGTCATTGCAATAAAGAAAAATATTCGAAAGTACAATACATTAAAAAATTAATTATGATAACATTATACAATAAAATTAATCTTCCTCTCTCTCTTTTTTTCTATTGAAGAAACTTATCTTTAGTTGAGAATTTAAAAAGTACTGAGTTATATAATAAATTTATCTCATATAATCTTAATCGCGCTATGATGCAGCTTCGACATTTTTGTTAGAGTCTGCAAAACCATATACTATTATTATCGTTGTTGCAATAATATTATTTTTATAAGAATATCCAATTATGTAATGCGAGAGAAATTAGACATAAATAGACAAATTCACACATTTAATGTATGTAAGTCATATATAATTGTAACTCATACAAAATTAATTAATGTAAATAGATTACGATATTTTATGTCTCATTTGTATAATTAACATCGCTATAATATTGATATCACAAATATTATTGTTATTTATTATCGCTACTACGACATGTCTATGTCAATTTCCTTCGTAAAGAGACTTAGGTTTCGCCAGTCTGACACAACCGGAACCTCCTCCACTTTTCCACCGAGGACCGTGGAAATACCGAGAATGAAACCTCTCGCTGGATCCTAACCGCGAGTTGCAGCACGGATGACATTGACTATCCTATTACTTGTCTACAGTTACCACTTGGTGAAAGTTGACGATGCGCATCTTCAAGGTCGTCGTCGGAGCGACCATTTTTACTCACAGATGACATTTTCTGAAATTCGGTCTTCTAAAATTTTCATCTTATCATGAGATGAATTACCAAAAGTGGTAACGCAATCTTTTCTTCCTAAAATAACTGTACACGCAGTAACAGGTAATATTCTGAGCGACGTGCGAAAAGAACAAGTGGCGTCTTAATTGCCGGGAACGTTAATTGCTCCATTGTGCATTTCAATTACTTGATACTAGTGAGTAACAGGTTTTTGAGCTCGTGCGAGAAATAATGTCGACAATAATTTAATAAGGCGTTTAGCATGGTTGATAACTACTGTGTGCGATTCGCAATGCGGATATTATTTGATTTACTGAAAAAGAAATTTTGAAAGGTAATATTTACGTTTATTACATTTGTAGAAAATACTTTTGATTGGGTGTATTCAGTAACGTCACGATTCTAGCGAATTAAAATTCTAAGATATAAAAGAAACAAATTTATGTTTCTTATTTTATAACTATATTTGACATATTAGTAAAAATATACTTTTATATATTTAAGATATACTTAATTTTTTTCGTAAAACATTAAACTTTTAACAGATTCTCGCGCTAATCATTTGATATTTTTAAAATAGTAAACGAAAGATATATATGTTTTCTATAATTTATTAACAAAATATTATACAATAAAAATATTTTTTTGTATATAATAATACATAGATGCGTGTAATATGTAGAAGCATCTAAATTTATATTTAAAAAATTATGTATTAATTTTTGAATTTGTATCCGTGTATATGTGCTCATGTGTTTATCATTATATAATGCAAATGCCATCAACAATAAACGAATTCATCACGCTATTACTTCGTCAAAGGAAGAGAATTTTGTTTCATCATGTCTAAAAAGATATTCATATTAACTTCATATTAACATATGAAACAAGAAATATACGTGCAGCCGATTATTCACAACACTAAACGTAAAGAAATGGAAAGTCTTTTCATCTACCAATGCTGCCGCTATCGACGCGACGTCTGCTTCGTCTTGAATTCACAGCAACTATAAACACTCCGACAAATGTCTGAACAAAATACTCTTTCTAGGCCGGACATCGATTAACGTGAGACTTCTAATAAATAGATGGAGCATCTTGAAATAAACCAACAGAATTTCAACTAATTGCACGAGAAGCTATACCAGCCTAAATCAACAAGTAAAAGATATTTTAGAGACAAAATAGATTTTAACAAATATTAAGATTTGATATCGAAAATTTCTTACGATAATAAAAAGATTTTCGCGAAATTATTTTAGTAAAGAAATGTTTAATGCAATATTTTATATGACTAATTTTTTTTAATAAAAATTTCAATTCAAATCAATTTTATAAAAATTTTAAAAGATTATTTTTACCAAGATATTTAAACTCATAAATTAAACATTAGTCATATATAACTTCGAAGAAATTAGTTATAAATTGTCGATCTCGTACAATCGACAATATCGTGCCAGTATAACTGTGAGAACAAAGAGTTTACTCTAACTATTATTAGTTGTTAATTTCAATCTACCCTATCATTAACCACGTAATAAAAATGTTGGTAAATATTAATATTAAGTTCAAGTCGACGTACTGTCGAATGATAATCCCGACTAATAGAATTATATCTATAAAATTTAATAAAAACATAAGTCTTTTCCTCTTTTATTATATTTTTTTAAATAATTCTTAAAGATGAACTTGATTCACAACAAAAAAAGAAGAAAATGTGAAGTCAATTGCGTTGATTGCGAGGATACTTTTCAGAATCACGGGAGAATCGATTCGCGAGATCTCTAACCCTTAATTATATCCGACTAAGGTCTCGATTCATCAGAACGTCTTCTGCTGGGTCCTTCGCTTGTAGCGAAGGGTGGGATGAGTCTTACTGCCTGGTGGGGACCATTTCTATATAATCGACGGTGAAGGTGCCCGTCTCTTCATATCCTCTATCAGTGACCACGTTTCTTTATCCGTCGTCTTTGACGTCTATCTATACTTTACAAAGAGATAAGTGATACAAGGTGAGTGTAGATCGTTTGAATGATGTAGTCCAAGGATTGAAATCTATATGATTTTTGGTGAATTCAAATTTCGATGCTGCGAATAGAAAATTCTTATAATTGTTTGTGGCAGCAGAATCGCTACATATATATATGCAATTAAGGTAAAGTATACTTTCTCCTCTATCACAGCATCGAAAATCGAATTAAACAAGATTTAATTTTTCTTAAAGTTTCAAACTTTTGATCATGCTTGTTAAAAACGGCCATGCATTGGATTTCTCATAAAATTTGTTAAAAATTGCAGATTAAAATCTTACTTGTTTCGTATATTCAGTAGTCTTATATGTGAATAAGATTTCTATTATAGTGAAGAAGAGATATGAAGAAATTTTTAAATTTTGCGAAAACAAAATAAAATTAAGATTACATTTAATCTACAAACTATACCAAAACTACATCATAATTATAAATAATGTTAATTAAGTTTCTATTTTTAATATTTTGTGCATAAAAAACAATTGCAAATGTAACAATTTATGAAAAATAATATAGTAATAGTGCAAAAATTATAAGATATCGATTTGAAAAAATTAACTATTATTTTTTGAAATTTTATTTTGTTCTTAGATTATTTTAATTTAGACAATTGATGATATATTGATAATGTATTTTTTCGTGATGATTTTCAACGTTCGTCGGAGAAATTTCCAATCATACGTGGACGCGTTTTGATGGATCACGTAACATATGGATAATATATCGGCACTCATGCATAAAAAAACCGTCTTGCGACTTCATTAGACAAGACACTCCCTAAGAGAAACTTCTGTCTGATGGAAAGGAACTGTTTGTGTCGGCGGAATGAGTCTCACTTGCGTATCTGTTCATGTCAACGCCATTATGTAGAAAACTCTCACCGACCGGTCATAATAAGTCAATGAAATTGTAATATTTGAATGTCTGAATCGATATTTAAACAACCCATCGGTTTTATATATGTTTATCTACAAGATTTGCATTTTATGCTTCCTAATACATTTATGCTGCCGATTTATATTATTATACTACTTATTTATTACAATTCTTCTTATAATCTTTTCTTATATTTTTTTTAAAGAAAAGTATTTGACAGTTATAAAAAGTATTAATTATATTATTTAAAATATAAATTAATCAAAGCTAGATAATACATTTTTCACACATAGTTGCAAAAATTACAAAAATTATCTCAAATCACAAAATTAGCTATATGCTATTGAATATCGTGCATTATGGCATTATATGCACTAACACTAATATTTAATATTCTGCAATATAGATGATGTTGGTGCCGCTGGCTGTGGTGCTCCTTGCGGCGTTCGTCAACGCAGAGCCGGCGATCAATGACTCTGGACCGCGCACTAACCGACCTGGAAGATTCTTGTCTCTTCCGATACCGCAAAAATGTGCAAATCGTAAGTATCTTCTGATATATATGTGCGACTTGTTAAATACTATTCATATCATCTCTCCTAAGGACAATGCGCTACAATGAAAAAAATTAGTAATTTGTAAAATTAAACATTATTCCTCACAAACGTACAAATTTTTCAATGTTATTTAATCCTAATATTCTACTCTGAAGTCTAGAAAATTATAAATTCGTCTATTCATTGCGTAAACTAAAGCAAAAAGATTAAATAATTATTAATAATCTACTAGATTAATTATTACTGTGACTCTTCCTCTCGTAATATAGGAATAATTATTTATTACATTTATACGAAAGATTTTTAAGAGAGATAATATTATGTCTAATTAGTAAACAGTTACAGAAATTACTTGACAGGGCATAATAATTCATCGCGTTATTCTGTAATCAAGACTATTCAGCGCTATCGTATAATAATCTTACTGTCGTAACTGTGCAAACACAGACTATTAAACGATTTACTTACGCACGTAAATGCTGTCGATCGGTGAATTTTCACAGTGGAGAGATTTCCATTCGCGAGATCACCTGAGACCATCTGTTTTGATTAAATTACCAGCGCGTGAGACATACGTAAAAAATGCGAAATGCAGCGACATGGATTTTCATCGTCATTCTCTCGCAGAAGAGGCTGTCGTGCGTCTCGGCACGGTATTGCCGTGCCATCTCAAAGGAATCGAGGTTACAATGCTGATACATGCTAAGAAGCTTTCCCCCTATCCCTCGCGTAATTTCACGAGCTACGAGCGTACTTTTAAAAGCAGACGAGCCTCTCTCAACTCTTGTGCAAGCACGCGCCCCGGGTATTCACTTTTGATCACTATGGGTACCAGTTTTTACGTACACTTGTTACTGCCAACGAATTCCTGATATCATTGCATGACAAACTTTCCTGCTGATTTTTTATCTTGTCTTGATACACACTTTCTCGGAGCCACTCGCTCAAGAAGTCACTCGCACCTCAGCGACGAAACGAAGCACTTATTACTAAAGTGGAATAAATTTGATTTCGAAAATCTTGTTAAAATAAATGTACCTTATTAATTTATAGTACAATATATCTGTATATATTTTGGAAAATATAATATATAAAAGAATTTAATATAATATATAAAAGACACATTTTTACAGAAAAAAATAATTAAATAATTAAATAATTAAATAATATTAATATAATAGTTGTATTTTTATGTGAAGGACGTGTGTCACTTTAGTTTCTACAATACAACAAATATCTTTATTGTATTTCTGCTAAATTATTCTGAAAATCAACTTTTTGCTTTCTACTCGTTTAAGTGGCAATTTTTTTTTAAATGTGATGATATATCATTGATTTAATTCATAGAACACTTGTGTAACGCAATGTTAAATATTACTGGATTAGCATTACTTTCAATCAGATAACGATCTAATAATTTTCACAAAGGATGTCTTAACATTGTTGTAACGCAGGTATTAATTCAATAAAATCTTATATTTAGATTAATTCAGTAAGATCTTCATTAACGACATTATAGCAAGGACATTGATTTAAATTATTCAAATGATAAAATATTAGCGAGGTATCTTGCGAATTATCGATGTTGTGTCATCAAAATTTATAGTTATTAATTTTTAGTTCATCAAAATATACCATCAGTTTAAAAAATTAATACTGATTTTAATTATCCTCATCTAATAATATTGATCTAGATAAAAAAGATACTGATCAATTATTACATTGACGATTTGATTAACTCTAATCAGCAAATTATTGTCTTTTCCCTATATCCCTAATATAGAGAAAGTTTACTTCGTATAGAGACAGTGCTAAATAACGTTAGAACGAACGCTTGTAACGGGAGGGACAGATATACGCATAGTATTAAAATATGCCTTTGAAGAAAACGAAACCGCGCGAGAAAATGTAGAGCAACATATTCACGAATCAAAGTGCAGACAGAGGGGGAGACATACGGAATTTCCAAATGGTCGCATTTCCACGGTATTTAATAACGTGAGAGGCGCGAGTAGGTCGTGGGAGTGAATCGGCTTTGCTGTAATGATGCAACGTAATGATGTTCGGATACGACCACAATCACCTAACAACCTAATGATTGCATGCTCGCTCTCCTGGAATGCCCGATCGCGCTAGCAGGATAGCAGGATGGAGCTTAGCGACCAAGTCAATAGTAATCAGGTGTAGCGTGATTCCTTCGTGCTCGCGCCAAGAAAAAAGTGTTTAATAAGCGTGTCAATATAGTCACGCACGTGTAAAAGAATGCAAGCAGAAAAACTGGCACGAATGTCAGTTACGTACAGTGAAAAAATGCAACACGCTTAACTACAATATATAATTATGCACGAACTATGATACATATATGTGCAATCTATAAAGATATCTCTGAAGAGATCCTGAATGAAGAATAGCATCTCGAAAGTTTTACGTTGTGTCACATATAATTACGCACGAGAGAAGCAGAGTTACAAAAATAATTTTCTTTTTTTTTTCATTATTATATTATATACTGTATGACTTACATCATTATTCTGCCATGGATCATATATCCAGTAATATCAGTTTAAATCTTCGAACTTCTAAACTCCTCTTCGTTCAATCAAGATGAAAAATTAACGGAACATTGTATCCGATTAATATTTGTAAACTTACGGGAATTATATTGTGAAGTCGTTAATAATACAATGGAATACGTAATGTGCGTGCATATCTTATACTTAAGGCGTGCGATAATGACACGCTTGTTGAGTAACATGTGAACAAGTATTGGCCTATGAATATTATATAATACCCATCGGCCTATTAAACCGTTGTCCGACAGTGCTATTACGGTGAAGATATGCGATTAAGTGTCCGCATGCTTTACTATCTTACCCTCGGACGCATATCTTGCAATTACACATGAAGAGATGCGGTAATCAATTTTCGAATTTTCCTGTCGAGTTCAGCGCGAAATAAAAATAAAATAAAAATAAATCTATCTTATATCAAATCGTTGATATTATGATGTATTATTATAAAGCACACAACGAACCGCGAAGATTAGGCTTAACAATATTGGCCCATCTTTCGTTTGCAAAACAGCATGATCTTTGATGAATGATAACAAGCAATATACATCCTTATGTAATAGCTTTCTTATTTTCTTACTAAATGTAGCCCTGTGGACATTAATATGTAATTAAGATATAATAACAGATAATTATTTAAATGAACACTCTATGTATATTTTGCGTAATATGCTACTATTTGTTTTATAACAACGACTTTAGGAGATCTCGATTGACTTGAAAGCGCGATAAGGATGTCCGACATAATTTCGCAAACTCGTAGTGAAAAAAAATCATAGTGGACAATCGCATATAAGTTTAATCGACGTATTATACCGCTGTTAATCACAATTTCGTAACGCGGCTGACGCCGAATAAAAGACCGTCGCTAACAAATCGCCATTAAATCGCCTTATGACAGTGTGGCTGACCGATCAGCTGTTGCAATCTTACTCGGCGCGAGGTTGACTGATTGACAACTCCACAGAAGGCCAGCGCTACATCGCCACGAAAATGTCAGGAACTGCTTGCGAAATTAGACAATGGCGCTCTTCGGAGATTATCCCCCCGATGCGTTGCCACTTAACGAGTACGCACGATTCGCCTGTAAACACGTATTTTCATAATGTAATACGAAAATATTCGCATACATATATATCTATGTTGAAAAATATTTTTGAAATGTTTTTCGAACACATGCAATTTTTTTAATTTAGAGGAAATTTCGAAAAACAATTTTATTTTTGATAGTGTATATTTTGTCTGTATATTTTTAACAAATGTAACGATTTTTATATAAATATAGCATATACATTTTTTTAAATCGCAATTTATTGAAAAAAATCGGGAAATCACTAAAAGAAGCAAGTGTAATTGATATCATTTATTGATTTTAAATTTAAGATATTTTAAAATACTATAATCCATATTCCAAGTCTAAAAATCAAATTTCAATTAAACATATTTTTTTATAAAATGTAAAAGTTTATATACATTAAAATAATCTATTATTAGAGGACAATTGGAACAATTTTTTCGTAAAAATCAAATATTCACCTTATAAGACGAATGTTTGATTTCGCTTTCAAAAATTAAAAAGAAAAGAGTGTGGGGAAAACCGTTATCCTCATATGAGACGAGTTGTACCGGGACCTATTGGCCCGTCGCGCAAAGAGAAAAAGTTTCACCTTCACTTGACAGCTCGTGTGGAGAGCCACAAGAGTTTCCTTTTCCTTCGTCTTCGCGCTCGAATGTTGTTTATTCACGACTTACCGTCGACCCACTGATCCCGTTCGGGAATAAGAAATTGATTCCCAACGAATTCATCCAGTGGAGTGTGCTCAATTTTGGAACGATTCCATTAACATTGATTAAATTGATAAATAGCTCGACTAATTGTTTTTTCTGCTACATTACAATTTACTCCATTTTTTCAATTTACTCTATTTTTACTCAATGATCAATATGATAGGTAATGTAATTAATGATCAATATGATAGGTAATGTAATTAATTATGATTACTGGTAATCGATATTGAATCGAATGAATTAGGGATGTGAGAATATTTTTGTTTAGTCATAGATTTTAATTTTATCCTTAATTCAATAATACAGATTAATTATTATTATAATTATGATAAATAATTGTAGCTTCATGTCTTCACGAGTTTGGTTTGCGATACTTTGTTTCATAAAAGACTTAAAAAATTTTTATATTACGATATATATATATATATATATATATATATATATATATATGTATATACTTTACATTTTAATATCACATCAACATTATTTAAAATATTATAACAAAAAATACAATAATTTTATAATCCTTCGAAGAAATTATTTCCAAACATTTATTTCGCTTTTCATTGCATCTCGGCAAAGATGACACATCATTTTTGGAAGCATACGGCAATCTCACAATTCGAATTTCAACGTATAGATACATATAAATTGATATCCGCTTGCGTGACAATTAGAAATCGGCTGCAATTGCAACATCCCTATTATAAGAGAATCTTACTCATTAATGTACGCTCGTTATATAGCTAATTAAATGACGCGTTCATCTAAAGCTTTTTCATTATTGAAAAATAGCATCGACGCCAACATTTTCCTCCGAATAACCGATTTGTCCCTCGAGATTAATTCCACAATGATGATGCCGGAAGTGAATCGTGCTGTCGAAACACATCAATGGCGCACCGTCGCATTACTAACGAAATCCACTTTCTCTTCGTCTCAAGTAGATAAAGTGTATATCCAAGAAAAATATTGTACATTCCGTCGTAGAAAATAGTTTGTCGACACTAAAATTGTCGACACTAAAATTTTATTAAGATTGAAGTCTTAATAAAATTCTTCCATAGAATAGATAATAATATTTGTTTTTCGAAAATCTATTAAATTTATAGATAATGTCCAAGAATTTTATTATTTTATTCATATTATAAGTGTGTCTATATTTCTCAGTGAACAACAGCTCGTATGTTTGAAGCGATTATCGTCCCAAGTTCCTTGACACAAACGCGTGAGACGCGCGAAGGGCATAAATGTTTAATGAACGGTGATATAACGACCATAAATTGCGATTATCCGACAAGAGGCAAACGTTTTTTTTGTTCGATGCACGCGGATGCATCGCCGTCATTGCGTGCGAGCGTGAAAACAAATCTGCTGCATATAATGATGATATAATCACGAACGGAATCATTCTGTGTACCGTTATTTTAATAATACATATGTAATATATTGTTTGCATTCGCACAATAAGCAGCACGTAACAGTTGTGTGAATTTTTTTCTATAATTTTTATAATTGATGCAAATATGCAGATATGCAAAAAGAAATTTATTGCAAAATATTTCTTACATTAAACATGCCTATGCTCTAATTGCTTTAATAGATTGATATATTATTTTATCTGCATTTTTTTGTTCTTGATTTTATTATTATTTTTTTTTCTAACATAAAATTCTTTTTTTTGCAAATATATATCTATGACTTTTATCTTTCTTTTTTTCTCATTATTTTTTTCGTACAATAGAATTTTATGTCACTTTCTAGCGCTTTGATATGTATTTTATTACACTGATGACAATGAACAGCTATCTCTCATGTAATTCATTGCACTGCTATACATATATAACGCAAGTTTCAATATTGATTATCGATCTAGACGAGAATAGCCATGCGATGACAGCTGCAGTGCCACTGTATAATGTTTTACAATATTTACATGCAGATTTCCGTTCAATGTAATCACGGTGTCAGTTTCATATAACTATGTTAACTCATCTCTACATTTAACATACTACACGATTCTATTGAAATCACTTCACGTGACTTCGATCAATGAAAGCATAAATTACTTTCTAAGTACGATGGCTGCAACATAGCGATAAATTTATCTATATGCCGTCTCTTTTCTTTTTCGTGTTACTTATAAATATATTACTTCGATGCCGGATATTACTTTTGCGAGAGTCGTTACAATCTATTCATTAACGTGACATAGCTTTATGTTATATTTAATGGCTATTTAATAGAGCTTTTAATATTCGCGAACCGGCTAAGATTACTTTCTCGTCGTCAATTTAAAAAAAAAATTATTATTGACTTTGATTCTCATTCATATTTAATAGCGTTTTACAGTAAAAATAAATGTATAAACATTTATATTAAAAAAAAAAAGAAATTATAGCTTTTAATCTTATTTGTATTATTTGATAAGCCTTTAAATTTTAAATTCAGAGATATGACTATTAAATCTTTATAAATATTTACATATAAACCGGACAGCTTTAAGAGAATCAATAATCAGAGTGCTTATATTACGAAACGCATTCAAGTAGGTATCAAACGCCATGGGCAGCAGAACGTATGATACAACAGGAATATAATTTTTTTATTTTTTATTATAAGATCTTCGTTAAATTTATACTGACAACTGGAATCACGACTTTGTCCTATGTCGTAAACTCCGACAGACAGTCCTTCTTCTTCCTCGACAAGCGCAATACAATTGCACTTTGCCTTTCTACAGCGGTCTCGAATTAAGCACGAGTCTCGAATTAACCAAGCAGATGGATGGCTAATGCGACTCATCTCAAGAAATATTATTTAAAGATATTTCAATTCAAACTGCTTCTTTTCGGCAAAAAAACATTTTCTCTGTTTAAATCCTCTCTTTTGTGATTCTGTTAAAAACTGCAACGAAAAATAATTCAAAATGTGGTTGACAAGAATAAATATTAGTTAGAAAAGATTGTTTAAAGTATTTCTCAGTACTAATACAGTTCATGCACATATAATGATATAATCATTTCTGTAATAAATCAAACAAGACTCTTTTTTCTACCGAATTATATTCCGTTTATAAATTAACCAAGGCTGTGCATGCGACTATGCGGAGACGATCATTATATATTCTAAGAAATATATAAAGAAAGCAGCCGTTTGTAAAATTGCTATTGGTATTTTCGACCTTTGACATTAGCGTGTTCAATCCTTGGCGAATACCAGACGAAATCATCAATTGACTGAAAATGTACGTAAGCAAGAACGTATAAGCAATAAAAGGCGCAGATGCCCACTTCATCGTTTTTCACATTATTCAAATTTGATGACTATTTCTTACGTCATGTACATAAAATATCATATACATAAATTTTAATCAATATAGCCATTGCCAACAAGTTGCCAAAAATATCACGTAGGTCTGATCCTTTTAATTAACATTAATATAAATTATATACTTAGCATATGTTTTGAATCTTCGAATTATATGAAAGAAAAATATTATTGCATATTATAATGTATATTCATACGACGTTTTAAAATATTTTCCAAACATTGAATTTCATAATAAAGCCGATTTATCTGATTTCACATATTAATTTAATTTAATACTGCTTATGTCATTCAAATAAATATATCTGTTGTTGAAAATGTTTCGGTAAATATCAGCCAATTTCAGATTTGTTTTTATCAGAATAAGTTTTTACATAATATAAGTTGTAAATTAAAATAAAATTTATGATATTTTTCTAAATTTTCGAAAATTTGATTTAAATCTCTGCTATTGTTAAGATGTATATTTGGAAAAATATTACGCTCTTAGAAAGTTGAAGAAGCATATAAAATAAATTTCTAGCATATTTAAAACCGCGTAAAATCGCGCGATGTCGGTGCAGTAATAACAGCGAAATGTGGGTTACGAATGTCACGACGAACATAGAAACGATTCGACAAGTCGACTTGAGGAAAGACCAAGAAAAAGAAAACGAAAGAGACGAGGAAAAATCATAGCGAAGAAATCACGCACGCGGCGAAATATAAAATGTTATATCATAGCAAGAAAGCGAGAGAGATAGAAAGACAAAGTGAAAAAAAAAATTATATATATATATATATCTTTTTTAAAAATTATATATGTATATATATATATATATATATCTTTTTATATTATATATACATGTATATATTTTTTGTAATGCGATAATATGTGCAAGCATATCTTTCGTAATGCGCCGTTAGGTGCTTATGGTAAAACACACGGTGTAAATCGTAGATGAGAAGAGACATACTTGTATAAATACCGGGAAAAAGCATAAAAGATCGTTGACATTTAAAGCATACGATAATGACGCATCGCCACCGTGTTGCCGCTGATTACAGATTCTCTGTTCGCAAACTATGATACACGAGCGTATTTCAGCTTGAGCTATTTTGATTACAAGATGACATACATATGTCCGATAATGTTTTATAGAGGACTATTTAAGTACGGACATAGCATTGATAATTGAGGAATTGATAAAAATAATTTTTTACAAGAATTTTACGATTTTTTTAAGCGAATAAAAATGATTTCTCCTGTTATGACTTCATCAAGTGGGAACAGTTGACTTTAGCCAGACATATTTTTATACACGAGAAGTATAGATTTACAGATTACTTCATCGCATAATACAGCGATTTGACCTCTGAATTATTAACCACAGGTCGCAAATCAAGAATCTCTTTATAGAAAAAAAACGCGATTGCGATGCTTGATATAATCATCAATTTTTTTCTACAAACTCACAAGTGACATCTTTATCAATAATGCTAATGATGATAAAAAAGTTAATATCTTTCACATTTATAGACATGGTGTAATAGACGTAAAATGCAATGTTATTTTAATTACTTCCTCATCAAACGTCCGAAATTCCGTCAAAAAATATAACATATTGAAATATTTTCAGTTTGAAATATTTTCGATATTCTCATAAAATAGTTCTAATTGATTTTAAAACATTTTACAGGACCGAAGCAATTCAATCTCCGGGGGCATAATTATTTCTTCAGCGGACACGTGGGAGCCCATGCTAATCAACGAGTAGACTGGTTAGACGGCAGAAACATTTGCAGAGAGTATTGTATGGATCTTGTCTCGATAGAAACTCAGGAAGAAAACAACATGATCTTCAAACTTATTCAACAGAGTAAGTATCTATTTCGCGATACTCGCTTGAACTCTTTGATAAAACTGATGTATCGATGCGTATGCGTTATTCTATTATGAATCATTCTCATTGTTTCAATGAGAAATTGTAAATACGAGATCAATGCAAAGGAGATCCGTCATTTTTGTTCCCATTATGAAAGAATGCACGCGTCGGCATGATTTGTAGCGTATCGAAAAATTACGCTAGAATTTTCAAGTTTATTCGACTCGATTTACGTGAATCGAGAAAGCATTTATTTATTTATTTATTTTTGTGACACAATATCACTTTATACATTTGCAATAGAAAGTTTCCAGACAGTATATATCGACACCGGTGGTTTACCGCGGCAACTTTCATCCAAAGAGATAATCATTTGGCAATATTTCGAAACGAGCGACCCGACATGAAACATCACTTCGTTGTAGATTCGAATGATTAACGACGATACGCTCCCCACAAGACCTCTTTCTCCTCCCTTATCTTCTCTCCCTCTTCATTACGACCTTTCGGCTGCAGCGCGATGCGCTTAAGTGCACTAGAGGAGTAAAACTGCAATTAAGGGTCTAGAATTTACCTAGCTTTACTCACTTCTTATTAGTACGCCGTTTCCTCCCTGTTTTCTTTTAACATTAGAGAAGATCGGAAGCTTGAATGATAGTGCAAAGTATGATAAACAGTTGTCAATATATCCCGTTTAAAATACTTTCATTTTCGTTACAATCTGGAAATTTAATTAAAAAAAATAATTTCATATAATAAACGTTTTAATCCGCCATTTTAAATTTCACATTTAAAATCGAGATATTTAATTAAAAAGAATGGATTAATCAAGATTCTAGAAAAATAAAACCGCATCGTCAATCATGACTACGCGGAAATTGATAAATCAATAATCGTGAATTAATATAAATTGTGGGAACATATCTGTTGGATTAAGCTACCGCTTTAATCATAATTATCATACAATCGCGCGATGATACCCGCTCGTCACGAGCGATATTCATCACGATGGAGGCGAGTCGGTGAGTATAATACGACAGTTTTCAAGGTAATGCGGGGTCTTGAAGTGGGTTGAGGCTAGAGTCTCATCTTTTTATATAATAGAATCGCGCGGTGCATGAATGCTTTTGCAGTCCGGCGAAAGTAAAATAGCACTGACAATGAATTGATTCCGCTCAAGAACCTGCCGCAAGACCCCCTTCTGTATCAACGGTATATTTTGAAAATCTTTTATATCGGCAGTCATTATCTGTACGTAGTGAATTATAATTTCAGATAATTCCAATATAAAATCACCGTGCTTTCACTCAATCAGACTTTACAATAAGTCAACGTCTCTGGTAATGCTAAAAGTACTTCTCTCTTTTCTCGGAATAAAATATTCATCTTAAATATTCATCTTAAATATTCGTCTTGGCTCTTACCTATTAATAAAAGAAAATAATACGAGAATATATTTAATCTTTACATTTTATGCTTAATAATAATATAAGTTTTTTTTAATTTAATAATGATTGCGCTCAGTATCGCTTAATATTAATTTTGGCTATGTAGACTTTCTCGGATAATTATAAGAAAAAGGAAATTCTTTAATGTCTAAAAATAAACATCGATCTTTTCTCAATTCTCTATTTATACAAAAAATCTATTTTCTTTCAGACGATGTTCCATATATCTGGACATCAGGACGTCTCTGCGACTTTAAGGGCTGCGAGAATCGACGTGATCTCGAGCCTAAGTCCCTTTATGGCTGGTTCTGGTCGGCGAATCGCGAGAAAATGTCACCCACCAACCAGGCACCGATAAGCTGGACTTTCAATCCATGGTCGCAGACCGGCCACAAGAAGACCAGGCAGCCGGACAATGCAGAGTACGACATCAATGGCACCACCGAGTCCTGCATGGCCGTCCTGAACAACGTGTATAATGATGGCATCGCCTGGCATGACGTCGCGTGTTACCACGAGAAGCCGTTCGTCTGCGAGGACTCCGAGGAGCTTCTCAACTACGTGGCCAGCACCAACCGCGGCATCCGCCTCTAAAGCGATCGCGGTCAGCCTGACACCTACATGGTGATCATGATCGTCCATCAGCGTCACGTACTCACTCTCCTTTCTATATTTCCCGTAGCAAGGAGGGAGCGACGAGACACGTGCCAAATAAGGACACGAAATTTTTACGTGGCGATTCTTGGTTCTTGAATGATGACAGAGGATCCTTTACAAGCAAGATTTGTATAAGATTCCTTTATAATTATATCCTTATTCCTTCCAGATTCCTTTATAATTATATCCTTATTAATTATAAGGAAATTTTAATTTATAATATACAAATTCTATATAACTTTTACATAATTACATTTTACAGTAGAAAGAGAATATATATTTTGTATAATTTTTATATGTTCGATTGAGTGTCATTTACTTAATCGAACTTACTAGATTATAATTTTTTGTGATTTATTTCTCTCTTCTGAATTTATAATTTTTTTATAATTTATTGCTGTCGATTTTTTTATGCGAATTTACACGATTATGTCAACTTATTGTATCTGTAGTCTTTTTTCCTGCACAAAATGACTTTTTCGCACGACAAGTAATTTTTGAATAATATGATTATCGAAGAATGTGTCATAACAGTTTATGAAAAATAAAACTATAAAAAAAAATTGATATATCATGCGGAGGATGAATTTATTTTATATTTGATTTTAATAATCAAAATAAATATAGAACTTTGGACGCACAATATTAAAAGCCTCTTGATCGAAAAAATGAGAGTATACTTCTCTATAAAATATATACATTATACGAATAATTTACATCAGATTTTCATTATACAATATAATTCAGTTGTAACATTAGTGTAAAATGTATTACATTTTATAAAATTAATTTGTGGCAATTGTATACAAAAATAAAATTTTAAATCGTTTATATCGATCAGGTAATAACGTGTCTCGTCGCTGTGCTCTTTCTGCAGTCATCGTATCGAAAAAACTCAGCAATAATTTTGTACTTTGTTTGATTTGTAATCAAGTATCCGTTGAAGAGAGTAATTATGTACATGTATTTATTGATAGATATTTGGCAATCTCTGTACGTTTATGAAATAAACTTACTCTTACGTAATTTATGTATTCATGTCTTATGTTTAATATCCAATATATCTTTATATTCCCAAAAAGATATAAAAATATTGTAACCAGATATAAAAATATTGTAACATAAATTATATCTTATAAATTTAAATTATTGATCAAAATTAACCATTTTTTAAAGAATTTATTTTACAATAAATTTATATATATTTATATATTCTAAGGCGCAATAATTAGTACGTTTACATATTTTTTTTATTTGTGTACTTTGTAATTATTTAACTGAATTATACAATGCAATTTTGGTATTTTACTATATTTCATAAAAAAATTAACGATGTTTTTAATGGAACTGATTTCATGCTTGTAAAAAAAATAAATATTATACATATATGTATATTATGAAGAAAAATAAATATATAGTATATATATATATATATTGTACACAAGCTTTTTTATTGCTTTTTGTTTAAAAATTCACATTAAATAATAACATATCTTGTATCAATAGCATGTATCTCTTTCGTATATTATTTTATAATTTGAATAATTCACAAATAACATGCAAGGTTCGAAACTCGACTAAGGCCCGGTTCCACAACTCGAGTCAATCCGAGTTTAATACGTTAAACTGGATCCTGATTGGTCCAATCACTACTTAAACTCGAATTAACTGGATTGTGGAACTGGGCCTAAATGGCTCAAGTCTGTACTACTTGTAGACTTTGAATCTCTGCTAAGAAAGTTTAAATTTTTGCCAAGGTTCGAATCTCCGCTAAGTGGATTCGAGTATTCACTAAATGAGGTTTGAATCTCCGCTAACAATAAGGTTTGAATCTCTGGTAAGTGGATTCGAATCTCTCTTATTGTTAAATGAGGTTTGAATCTTCACTAAGCGGGTTGGAGTCTCGGTTAAATAGAGTTCGAATCTCCACTAAACAGGTTCGAGTCTTTACTTAAGCAGATTTGATTGAACCTCCCCTGAATGGATTTGAATCGTTATTAAATCAGGTTCGAATCCTTGTTAAATATAGCACAGGTTTTCTTTTCTAAATCTCCACTAAATATAATATATTAATAATGTATTTGTACCTATAATAATTGATCTATATGAGATTTTTATTAAATATTTCTCTTTATATTTAAGCTTTTTATTCATGTACTTAGGAGTGTCAAAGAAAAGAAAAAAAAACTTTGAAATTATAAAAAAAAATCACTCCACATTTAAAAATTTTTATTTTAACAGTAAAAAATTGATACGTACTTTTTTATATTTATCACTGTTGAGATGAAGATATTTAAATAAATTAACGAGTTTTTTTTAATAACAACAAGTGTACGTAAATATAATTTTTATACAATAAGATTTTCTTTGTTCAGATATGGGTATATAAAAAGATATCTCAATAAGTTTTTTTTAAATATCATTGTATTTCTCTTCTGCCGCGGCGAATGTGTGTACAGAAAATTACTATGCGAATTATCTAAGCGAGGATTCATAGTTATCACGTTTTGTACAATATATATAATGATACAATAATGATGATAATAATAATAAGTAGAAGAATAATCAATTTATCGACAAGACGATTGGTGAAGAATGACAATAGTGATGTATTGATGAACGATGACGAATGATGATCAATGATGATAATTAATATTAAACGCTTGAATTCTCTTTCTCTCCCGCATACATACGTTTTTTTCTGTCTGTCTCTTTCTGTCTCTTTTTTACTAGTTCCACCTCTTTGGCTTGTACATTTTTTACGTGTGTGTGTATGACTGTTTATATATAATATAAATTATTAATGTTACTATTTATTACTAAAATCATTTGTGTATTCACGTTTGTTATTCTTATGAGTCTTTGGACTTTATCGGACATCTTTGAGTCTCAGAACAGAAATTGCGCAAACACTATTTGCGCGAACACATTTACATAAAATTAGTCGCAGAGTTTTACATTTAATCGTATTTGTCGCTTGAGTACAAATTTTTAACGATTAATTAAACGATTAATTCACTAATTTAACTTTACATACTCGCGTTTTTGATTCAGATAATTTTACACAGATCTCAGTTATTATATTTCTCAATCATTAGAATCGCACACAGAAAATTACTAAATCGATAATAACTTACTCGTTAACACAATTGTTTTTGCTAAACGATTAATTAGATTAATTTTTCGCTTGTAGTGCTTATACGTTGCACAGGATTAATTAGAAAGTTTCGCATTCGTAGAATATTAAAAAGAATATCCAGATTCATACAAAGTAGATGAACATTTTCCACTTGTACTTACGAGATTATTTTCCGACCTCTGCATTCTCTCTTTCCAGGCTTTTACAGACGCACGTTCGAGTTTTACACAACGCGTATTTTAACAACAATTTTACCTCATATATATATATATATATATATATATATATATATATAATTAAATTATTAGTAATTATTTAACTTCAATTTGCTCGAAATTTTAATATTATTTTTTATTTAATTTTTTCAAACTTGCACAGAAATACAAATTAATATCAATTTGGAAACAATAGTCAATAATTGGTAAACATTTGCATAACATTTCATCTATAGGAAAAAATAATTTACAAATGATAACAAATATTATTCATATTAAATTTTTTTTTCATCAATACTGGATATTGATTTGCGTGAACAAAAAATATTTCAATGTAATAAACACATAAACTGTATTTTTGTCTCACCAAAAATTTAATATAGCGCATATTGTTTACAAGTTAATGTAAATTTGTTGCTAATAATATGGTTGTGAGTTAATGGCGAAATTTTCGAAAAAATGTTTCGGACAAAGTATCGATCTCGTCGAAATGGTCGACCATCACAGGTGTTGCCGGGGTCGTAGGTGCGTCTGTGATGCGGCGGCGCGCCTTTGTATTAAGCGTATTAATTAAAAAAAACAAGACGAAATGTAATGAACGAATAGACTAAGGAGACAACTAAGAGTTTCTTCGTGCGCGCGCGTGCACGTCCTTCTCACTCCACTAATAAATAATACTTCATAATAGTGACACGTACAATATAAAAATTAATAACGGATAACTTTCTTTCAGTCGATCGAAGATCGCGCAGTCGGGAGATTAAAAATGATACGAGATTAAAACATGCGCTGCTTTCCGTTGGACCCGTTATGTATCGCTTCAATCGTTAAATAACAAATTGCAATATTAATATTAAAATTCAGCGATATTAATTTCGATCCTTAGCGCACTCTCGATATACTTTTACGTAATTTGCATGTGCTGAATTAAATAACAATAAATATATTATACATATCATATTTATAATAATTTAATTATTAATTATGTTTGTTTTTAATTAAATTACTTGGACTCGCAATCATTTCGATTCGCGAATATCGATACATAACAGATTCATGTGCACTTTAAATTGCTCGGATCGTGACATGCTCAACGCACATTTTAACTCATTGGCTTATTTTTTAGAGAATTGCGCTATAAAGAAACGGCTGACAAATGAAATTTTAACTGTAAAATATCGTTTCATATGGATTTCAAGATATCCAAAAATGTATTCTATGAAATTATCTTTAAATGATTTCGAAAGAGTGGAATATTATACGAAAAAAGTTACAGTAATAAGTTTTGCAATAGTATGTTAATTTAAATAAAGTCGCGTATAGCAATTAATTAAATTAGAAACCACTACAAATTCGTTAGAAAATCAAACCAATGAGTTAATCTTTGTGCTCTATCGTAGACTTCACGATCCTCGATCGCTCGATCGTTGTAGCAAACATACTCGCGCATATCCATCTGATTTAATTATTACGTATACCCATAGACATACACGCACGCATATGCATAATCCTTTCTTATGTAAGCTCGACGGACGTCGCTTTGTTTTATAATTAAAAAAAGAAAAAAAAGAAAAAAGAGAAAAATATACCATATCCTAAGCTCGAGCTCTCGGGTCGCGGATCGAATGCCAGAGCGTAAATTAAAGTCCGAATAGATTTCGAGCGAGATGCTGTTTTCCCGATATGTTATTCCTTTTTTGTTTCATTGGAAAAAACCAGATCGAAATCTGATGACGTTTTCGGAAGAGGGTGAGAGAGATGCGTGTTGATAAGAAAATTCGATACCAAAACTGCTTCGATATTTACCATTGATCACGTTCAGGATGGGAACGGGAAAAGCAGGAGATCCAATATGCTTGGACGCTGGGCAAAAATTCGAGACGAATTTTCTCTCGTCAGCAATACGACGACACAGCAACGTCGGTGTAACGGTAAGCCGTATGTAACAGAATCATTCGCACACACCCCCTCCCTTTCTCCACACACACACACACACATACACATACATACTCGCGCACGCCTCTTTGCGCGATTTCATCCATCCCGTCAGGTATGTAATCGACGAAGTATCATCTCGGCATTTAGGTACATATTTTGCGGAGCGTTTACACGAGGGATTTCAGACGACGTATAATTTATTCGCATGTCTGAATTATCGAGGGCATGTAAATAATTATGCGTCGCGCGTGCTCTTTGGCATCATCATTTAACCCGACAGTAGATTAATAAAATGGAAATCATACGTCATAAATGTTGTATAAAGTCCCTAAATTATGCATTTCACTGCCGGTATGTTAATAGCCAGCGGATCGACACCTGTTCGATTTTCCTGGGGAAAGCGCGGCTCTTTTTGGCTCTGGATTTCATCGATACATAAATTATCGTCAACAACGATGGTAATTAATGGAAGCTCAAATCGATTGAGCGTTATGAAAGGTTCGGGCCATTTCAAAAGAACTCAAATCATTGCTGCATTTATGAAACAAATCGAATTAAACATTTAACAAGGCTCGGCGTACGTAACGAAAATCACGTTTCATTTATCGATACAAACTTAATAATGTGCAATTACACACAACAGCGTTTGATAATTTATATTTATTCATATAACAACCGAGAGAAACAATGATTTTATTGATTCAACGACAAATATGTGCATAGAAAACGAAGACCTTAATTCACTTCGCGCAATTTATTCGACAAGTTAATCAAGCGAGTTATTTCTCTGCGTATTCATGTTAAGAACACATATATAATTCAATTTCAAATTAATCTCTTATTATTCCTTAATACACCACGTTAGTATTGTGAAATCTACGAAAACAGAAATCTCGAGAGATTTTGATCCTATAAACAAGAACATAAAATTCCTCGTCTGAAATTACAATCATAAGCACTCGCATTCCTAATAAATCACCCGCAATTTGTATGCAACTTTTTTTCTGAGTATAATTGCTGCGATTAAAATCATATGTGAACGATATTAATAGAAGTGTCACCCTTGCTTCCCTCTTGCATTCCACGTTTCTACCAAACACACAATCGACTCATTCAACTAGTCAGGTATCGAAGCTCTTTTCGACTCTTTGAGCAACCACTTTTGGACACTCTTCAACGTCCTTTGAATCTCTCAATATTCTGGAACCCTTAAACGCCCTAAGACTCCTTAGCCACCACCTTTCCTCCTTTTCCCGCTCTCTCTCTCTCCTTTCCTTTCTCTTTCTTTCACGCCACTTCCTTCTTCAACGTCACCGGGGGTCTCGACCTTCTTTCGTCGCCTTAAAGCGACTTAGATAGCCGTCGTACTTTAAGCTAGGCTCTGGCGTTAGCTGCCTTCGCGGGTACTAATTGACTAGCATCGTTAATTACTTTCGTTTGATCTCTCGCTTGCGCTCGATTCGCGTCCTTTTGGCGCTCTTCCTACTTCCCTCTCCAGAATCTACCTTTTTACTTTACCATATTCAGGCCATACTATACGCTAGCATTGAAAATTATTTCTTCCTCAAAGTATGCGATAGTAATGATATATTAACAGTAATGATATTAAAAATAATAGTTATATATTACTATTTCGTAGTAAATCTTATTATATTATTTGGTATATCGTGTATCAGCATTGTTACATTACGCGTATCGGTGCAATATAAATAATAATACATTAGTTTGATCCCCGTCGAAACAAGGAAGAACCAACCCACCGGGCAGAATTTCGGCCTTTTCTCTTTTAAATGTTAAACGCGCTACCCTAAATTGCGTACGTGGGAAAATAATTTTCGGTCGTCGACCTATTGACGGTTTTTGCGCGTTTCATCCCGTGGTACTCGCGTGGGTTTTCCCAGAGCCGAGGAGAAAATCCAAAAAAGTATCGGAAAGAGCTGCTTTCGTACACACGGGACCCGTCGACGACAGCTGGGCTCTCTTCTTACGAAAAATAAATATAGAATTTCGCGGAATATATATATACGTTCGCGCGCCATCGCTAGGAATACGATAGTATAATTGCTAATTAATTGTTATACAAGAACACACACGCCAAGTTAAACGCGCCTTCCCTACTACCACTTCGCGAGAGACGTAGCTAGGAAAAACGGGGCATTTACGTTTAATTACGGAATTCATGTCGCCCGAATCGGGTTAACCGGCAACTCTGAGAAAATAAAAGGCGCATCTCGCGCTAAGTCGTATTACAAAATAGGCAGTGCGTCGGATTATCTCGACAATCGAACAATCTATTCAACTAAATATTATAGAGAGACACGTACCGCAACTATTCGAATTGCTGTACAAACTTTGGCTCGTACTCGCAACTTTGTTCAGTGCCACGTTTAGCTTCAGGATTTTGAACTTTATCAATCACCGCGTATATATTTTTTTCTTTGCGCTAATTGACCCATTGGACGAAATTAATCTTTCCATATTCTATAGAATAATAAATAAAAGTTTCCATAAACTCTAATTATTTAATATATCAATTCTAACTTCATAAATAAATTAATTTGATCCTACAAGATTATGTAAAGTACTTTTTTTATCGATTTACACGCTTTCATCCAAAACAGCTCCAATATAGTAATATGATTCTGAAATGAATTCGCAATCGAGTTATTCATAATTACTTAATGTAACGCTAAAGTTGTGAGCCGAATAAAAGTATCCCACTCGATGGAAATCAAACAAGGGTGTTCACGGCTGAAAACATGGTGAAAATATGTCTGATAGACGAGCCATTGGATAGCGAAGTGGAGGCTAAACGTGACGCCTGGGGATACGAGCTATCAACGGTATAGTTATCGTTTAGATCGCACGTCACGCGGACGGCAATCACTCGATCCAATTCCGAAGACACAATGATAAATTAAAGAGTGAGGAACATGTGTGCGTGCGTGTGTATATGTGCGTGTCTGTGTGTATGTGTGACTATGTACACCAAGCGTGCTCTCCCGAGATGTGCGCCGCGCGCGCGTGCGCGGCTCCTCTCTTCCGTTTAAATACAATATGTATATATTTGTATGTGTATATGTATATATACACTTACCAGACAATGACGCGAAACGACTAGACTGTGACTCGAACTTTTCTTCGCTCCTTTATCTTTCGTTCTTCTTCCTTTTTGCTCTGTCTCGCGCCTTCTCGATCCCCTTCTCGCTCGCGTAAAACGCGCCAATACACACACATACGTACATGCACGCAAAATCATACCCAGTCTCTATGCTATATACAGATATGTACAATGGTATACAATTAATGCGTATTAATGATCACGCGTCCGGACAGATGCGCCATCGGGGATGAGGATAATTTTGCGAGAACGTTAACGAGCGGCCACTGTCGAGAGCGCGTAGCTCGCGATCGAAATCGGACCGATCGAGATCGACTGAGTGTTGTTATGTCGTGAGCTTGATCGCCGTTATATTACGCGTTATTACATCCCATCAGATGGAAAGCTCGCGAGCTCTCGCGAAAATCACGACCGCACAAACAGCAATGCGCGCCGAAACGTTCAAAGCACATGTACCATTCGAGTTATATACATAATTAATAGTCCCCCCATGTTTATCCGGAAATATTATTTTTCTGTAATATTAAATAGTATTTCTCTTTACAACGATTATACAATACAGTACGAGTTTCGGTGGCAATGCGTGTCGGAATGGTTTTGATTTTTGCGAGTGCGGAAATGGAAGATTTTTTTAAATTTTTCGCCTCGTCTCATCGTGTTGATTCTTCCAAGATTTATAACGATGAAAAATGCAACAGCTGTTTAAACAAATCTGAATTGTACTTTTATAATGACTGATTTATAGTGCGCGATAATATATACGTATGTTCAAATAGCGAATTTTGTTATTCTTCTTGTTTCCTCTTTTTACAAAACATAATAAAGTAGGACAATACGTAGTTACGAAACGTCTATAGAAAATATGATATAAACGCCAAAGTATGATTATAAAAGTTTGAGAAATACGAATTTAGTTCAGAATAAATTCGCTTTGTTGCACTTTTGCAACGAGCCGGAATCAGCTGATATAATGATGAAAGAGATTGATCATTATATAAGAGTGACAAATTATTTTTTTACAAAAATTATAATTATTCGAATAATTTGAATATTCTTTATACTATCAAATCAGTAATTAGCAATCTTTTTACCCCTTCTGCAAAAATTTTTTCACAGCTGATTATTTCCATCTCATGTTAGAAAAAAATCTTCCATCAACACAAGCTCTTCATCATCAAGTTTCACGCATTCTGCACTCGTGCGGTCCACATCCACGAATTGTCTCGCGAGTCAAGTGTTTCAAGAAAGTCTCGAGAGGGATCTTGTCGATGGTTACCAATTCTCTTGACTGTCCCACGGTTTTTGTCTCATCGTCGTCTCCATCGTCTACCTCTTCGCCGCGGTCATTTGTACAATGTTTCATCGACCACGAAGGATCCATTAGGTCTCGGGATCTTCCTGCTTCCTTCTGGTCTCTTCTGCTTTACTTCGCTGTTGTCGAATCTCTCTCTTTTTCTTTATCCTTTTGTTTCTCTCGTCATTGAGCAAGAAACTTCTTCAACAACACGACAATGGACAGCGGAGCGTTGCCTACACAAGCGAGTATGATTCTTTGGTTTTTCCGAGGACGACAGCGACTGGCATTACGCGAAAATAAACAAACGACGAAAGTCGTGGAAAAGAATTCCTCCCTTCGACATATTCTTGTTCCTATTTGGACAGAAGTATTCCCTCGCCGATTCCTTTTCGGCCGATCTCGTTGTCATCCAGTTTGGTTCTTTGGTTTTTTTTTCAGAAATATGGAACGATGGACTCAAACAACTAGATTCGCGATCACGCGACTTGCTCTTCCCAGAGACCGACGAAGAAATATATTATATGTTCTCTAGAACGACACGCAAAGACATTTTTTACATGGCAAACAGTCCAGGATGTTTCCATCCATTTCGTAAGAATGACGTTTTCTTGTCCCGTTGATAATAAGGGAACACGAATGCTTAGCTATTGTTCTTTTCTGGCTACGCGCTTTCGAAACCATCCGCATTTCGCTATGAAAAAGTAGATATTGTGCTCAAGAGGCTTCCGCAGGATTATGGAGTGAATGCGGATTACTGCTACTTCCACGAAAACAAAATGGAAGACGAAATGTAACAAGCGCAACGTTTGTTCAATGTTCGTCTACTCTCACGTCTGTTTCGTCTTCCTGGCGAAAATCTGCCGTTCCCACTATTGCATCATACAAAATATTCTCATCTTTTAGAATTTTCGATTAATAAATTATATATTTCCTCGCTCATTTTTCACGGTTTTCCCAACGGGCGCTCTGCCATTTTTCTCGAATGTCGTGCGCGAACAGGCCGGTTTGGAAGAAAATATACTAAGAAATTACGATCCTTTTCGCGCGGAGGGCGATCTAAGTCATCTTCCCTCCGACGAGGAGAACGACCGCCGATGATTTTACTGCATACCTTTCATTTTTACATGTCCTTTGCTTTCGATGCTTTGGAAATTTAGTTCTCGCTTTAACGCATTATGCAAAATCCGCAATACCTGACATTCTTAACAAGGTCTCTCCCGTCTTTTCCTGCGTCTCTTCTTCTTTTTTTTCCATGGACGATCAGCTTCGCGTTACGTGTGCCTCGGCTGGCCGTACGCGAAGCTGATCTCGCGTCATGGATAGTCCGGATGCATCAGATTGTACATGACCGCGAAGATCGTGCAAGCGGCGTAAACGCCTAGGGCGACCCACCAGAGTAACTGCTCGTGTAGCCGCTGCTCAAAGTTCTTCAACACTAGAAGGCCGATCGTTAAACCAGCCAGGGCACCCGTCAAATGAGCGACGTACGACACTGGCGGACCCATCTGCTCCGCCGCGTATCTATCGTAGATCGCGAAGCCTACGTCAGCGCTAGCTGCAATCAGAAAAATGAAAAAAATTTCGATTAAAATTTGCCATTGATTTCTTAAAGATATACATAATTTTGCTTCCTCCCATGTCCCTATTTTACTTGTTAATAAATATTTAAATTAATCATCGTAATGCTATAGGTATATGCTTGTTAGGTTCCGAATTAAAATTAATCGACTTCCATTTATGGTCAATAAAAATCATAAATACGCCCACAAATTAAAATTAATTTAAAATGACATGTGTAGTAAAATAGAAAAAATAATGCTCTTATTATGCTGTCTTTTAAGAATTTTGTTTTAAAGATTTCTATTCTGTAAAATAACGATGAAAATGATGCATAGCAAAGCGATAAGGAAAGTATACAAAGAACAAAAAGAAGAATAAGAAGAGCAATAAAAAAGTGGAAGAGTGCGAAAAAGTAAGAACGCTCCGCGAGGAGACGAGCCGACGGTGAGCTTTGCTGAAAAGCTCTCGAAGTGTCGTCGAGAGAAGAGCTTTTCTGCAGCTTCCTCAGCAGCTTTTTCCTATGTCTGCGACTACTGCGGATGACTGTGTAAGTTCGTTATATTTCCATAAGAAATTTGTTTCTTCGTTAGTTAATATAGAAACGAGCTTTGTACAAACGGATCAACTTTAGCTTCGAAAGCTAAAGCATCTTAACATTTTTTTACAAAGGTTTTTGTGATCTTATCGATAAATGGAAATTATCACATAGAAAGATTAAGACTAATTCAAGTTCAAATTTTCATCAGATTTCTACTTCAACGTGTATATATATAAAATTACATTCAAGGATTTGTCTTATAAATGTATATTGTGTATCTCAAATAAAAAAATAGTTAATTGATAATTAATAATTCATCTTTCTCTTCAAATTAAATAAAAAAAAATTAAAGTAACTTGAGATAAATATAACCCGCAAATTAAAATAATCGATTAAAAAATAAGATCTAATTATCCGTTTATAGAAACTTATTTCATTTTCAACATCAAACGATTTTGGAATTAAGTTTTCGTTAACGAGATAACTCGAAACTTATCGAAGTATTTATAACTTTAAGAAAATTCTGTTATACATTCTGTATATTATTTTCCTTCTGTTCTCAAACGCGATACCTTCGCTTTATTGCGCTTAACTTAACTTGGATAGCAAGACTGAGTTATATAATTCTTGAAACAACAAAAGCTGGACTCTTTCGAGCTTTCCTATCTATTTCTTCCTCTACCATTATTTGCTTGATTACAATCAGCATGCTCACGAGTGTTATATAATATTTTATTACCGTATCTTTTTCATCATAACCAATATTCTTCTCTTTCTATCTACCTTTTGTTTCAGTTTATAATTCAATTTTGATGGAATTATCAGAGAAAAGCTTAACTAGATATATTGAATTTCATTATTATACTTGAAGCATTTTCAATGATTTATAAAAAGCTTATTTTCATTTCTATTTCATTGTTAAAATTTGTTATTAATTATCAATATATATAGTGATTATTTTGCAAGCTTCGTTTAATAATTATATTATCTTCGTGCCACAGTAAATTTACATATAATTAAAATTAAAATCTTCTCATTTTTTCGTGAAAATTCGTTTAATATTTTTTAAATTGTCCCATCTCTCTTTTTTGTTATAACAGACTCCAACTCACTATTATACCATAATCTTAAAATATTATATCTCTTTTTTAATTTCAATCGAGCTTACTTAAGTGCGATGAGTTTTAATGACTCGATAAACACAAACGACGACACTTGTTTGAAAATTTAACAAAACTAACACTTATTTTTCTCATGACAAACAATTCCAACGTTGGTGAAAATTTTTCGCGACAATCACGACGCGCGCGAAAGCACATCTATCTTTTAATTAAAACTTTAGAATAGCAGTAGTTTTCCGCTTCTTACCGCGAGAAAAAAAGAATGAGGAAATTGAAATTCAAGAGGAACGTTGAAATCAAAAGCAAAAAGAAAAATTCGAACGATGGATAAATAAATGAAAATAAAGACAGCCACGAAAAAATATTGAAATGTAGTACGCTTCTGTGTTTAATAAAATAAATACCTTAATTAACAGAAATTTAATATTTTTGCATAATTTTATCGAATTTAATAAATAGTATAGAAGATAAGACATCTAAAACAAAACATTTAAGAAATTTAAAAAAATAGATAACTTTATATTTAAAAAAATATGATTTAAAAAAATATGAGTATAAAAAAAATTGATGATCTTGATTGATCTTTCCATTATTTTCTTTTTTTTTTTAATTAAATAAATTTTATTTTTTACTCTTTATATATTACAATAAAGATATCCAACTGTTTTGTTTATCCTCTGCACTATTTAATTTCGCATTATCAATTTCGTTAATTAAAACAATTGTCGGTATTTGAAAATGTTCCTAAAATATGAAAATTTAAATGTTGTTTCGCAAAGTTCTGATTGCAATAGTATATTTTCTTCGTGCCTTAAAACGTTATGGGGAAAGCAAGAGACACTTCACCATATCGCAGACTCTTACGAGAGCGTCATTTGCATTCGCGCCTGCACGGATGACCCGTTTCCACGTTGTGAGAGAGCGCGTTTATCGATCAAGCTCTACTCTGCTCGTCAAGCTCTCTCGTGCGCGGATTACGATGTAATCCAAGTCGAAACGCGTAGATTAGAACGGGTCTGAGCTGTTACCACCCGTGGACACAGAAACCTAACTGTATGAATATATTTGAAATGACGCGTAGAAATAGAGGAGAGAGAGAAGAGAAAGAGAGAGAGAAGAGAAAGAGAGAGAGAAAGCGCGAATATCCGCATTGATGATGATCAACCCCTTAAACAAGGTTATTGAAGACTCAAGAGGCTCCGTCAGGGTGAATTTGAGGCGACTCTAGGGCCACTAGAACCAGATAATGCGCACGTATAGTGGCGGTCAGATTACGTGCTATACGGACTCTCGATACTAGAGTCCTACGTCTTTGCCAATATCACGCTACTATTATTACGTCCCCATAGGCGCCAAATTCTAGACTGTATTCTACTTTGAGATTCAAAGATATATACTTTGTTTCAATTTTAAAAAATTTATTTCAGTTCTTAAGGACGTCTATATGTAACTCCTTTGAAGAAACCGGTACAAAAGTCAAAAGATATTTAAAAAATATTTAGATATTTGACTTTTACTAAATTTTCCATGAGGAAAATTAATTCTATATATTGTGAAATTATATTATAATCTCCTAGATATCTTCTTTACAATAATAAACTTCAAAACTGTATTTTGTTTGTCGTTATTATACTTATTTAATCTCTAACATTAATGTGTACTATATTTAGTTCTCAGTAAGAACAAAGCGTGATTAATATGTACCAGCACCGACGCCAATGCTTAATCATGGCCGTTCTCGAAAGCAGATCGATCGGATATCGAGCAGGCAGGTCGAAGATAGATAGGATTGGCCGCGATGATTGTGTGTGCGAGCAGACGATCGAGGAAGTAGGGTCCACTTACCGATGACGAAAATGCCAATGAGCCGAACTATCCCGAATTCCATATTGTTGTAGTTGAGGAGAACATTGGCTAGATGTGCTGCCAAAAGAGCATAAACACCCCCGCTCGCTCCGACGAGATACACATCCGTATCGAACACCGATGTGCCCAGCGAACCTGAAAACAAGATAAACATATTTCTCTTTTAATGATTTATTAATTATTTTTTTTCTTTTTCAAACTTATCAGCTTTTTCGAATCATTAATTTTTAGCGTTATTAATATTAATTTTTACATTTCGTCCAACAAAGGAAATATAAAGATTAATATTAATATTAATTTAATTATAATTAATGTATCATTAATTTAATAATATTGAAATAAGCGTCCCAAGAATTAAAATGTTACTTCTCTAAATTTTCTATTATAATAATAAATGTATCCCAGTTTGAAATTTAAAAATTTGCGAAGTATATTTCCGTTCTTCTATACCACTATTTTATGCAGTCAATTAACGAATATGGAATTACGTAATCAACGAAATTTTTCGAGAAGAGAAAACCGGCCGTTCTCTCTCACGAAACTGCGAGTTTCCCGGTTTCGAGAGTTTCCGCCATTCACTGTCGAACTGGGAAACGCTCGTCCTCGGACAACCGCGAAGTGCGGACAAAATTTTCCACTCTCACCGCCCCCGGCGAATAAAATAAGAATAATATTCGCTCAACAACTCGAAAGTTCGCACGGCTCCGCGCTCCAGTTTAACAGCCAAAAACTCTCTCTCTCTCTCTCTCTCTCTTCCTCCCTCTCGCACCCTCACTCTTCCTCCAATTCATTCGGAAACATCTGTTGCTCCGCGCGTAATGTGCAGAACGCTCGTAGGAAAACGAGTATGCGCACCAAATATAATTAGAATCATAAATAATTTATTCTCTTAATTAATATAATTATAATTTTCGCAAATAAATGCAAATCAATCAAATGCATTGTACACGTACGGATTCTTTTTTTCATGATTGAGATAGAATAGATATAGAACTCCTCTTAACGAACGTCGAACCCTCATGTACTCCATTCCGTTCTTACATTTATGACGTACTTATGTCTATGGACGGGTGTCGTAATGCTCTCGCCATTTCGTCGATTCATGAATGTCAAAGGTATAAAGCGCTTCCGGGCTTTAGCTAGCTCCGGTTATTAGAAACAGGATTAGGGACCAGTTTCCGAGCACTTGCCTCGTAATTTGACAAACTGCCCGCGGCATACGGATGCGCAGGAGCATGAATGATTGCAGCCGGCTAAAAAGTGTCCTAATAACGGAGACATGGTCAATATGACATATAATATCCAAAATTATAAATCCTATTTTTTTATTACATTTTTCTCATGCACATATAATCGCATTTGTTACCTAAAATATGTAAACATTTTTTCTCACATTTATCCGTAACGCGGAGCTCGTATTACAAAATGATTTTTACATGTACATATCCGTCGTCGGATATCTGAAAATAACATTGCGTTCCAATTACACGCCAAATGTCGCCCGGTAGAAGGCAATCCGGCGTACGATAGTATCGCAATAATAGCGGCGCGCGTTCGACAAACTCCGCAATTCGCAATGTTTCACTCGCGCAACTGGTAACCGTGCAACGAGCGTGTACCGTGTCGCGCGCAACCCCGAGAGCAACGGTAATGTATCAGACACACGATCGCGCTAGTTAAACATTAATATCGCGCTGGACAGGCGGATGGTGCTTCGCGAATCGATGCGATGGCGCCCGCCTATATATCGTGGGAAATGAGCGAGGACATTAGTCGCTTCCTATGTGGAAATGTGGAAGCGACCGGCAACGGCCGGTGGTGATTCGGCGCGTCTGGCGAAGCGACGAACGCCACCTGACACCTGGGGGAACCTGCTGACCGATCGCCGCCCTTCGCCTAAACCTAACCGCCCGGTCACCACCACCACCTTTGATCCGTCCTAAATTACGAGTGTCGTCCGGCCGATACGCGTCTACCCTGACAAGGTTGCTCCGATTTATTAAGGCTGTCGCTCGTAATTCGGATGTAATCGGGATGTCGGGATTGTTTTCCATGCTTCTTTTTTAGCTTTGTATACGCGAATTCTAATCCGAAGTGCGATCGGTATTTTAAAAAAAATTGAAATAATTTCTGAATTCTAAGCGATTAAAGAAGAAGCTTCGGGGATAATTTTGATGAAGCTACGGCTAGATAATATTTATTCCGGATTTGCTCTTCAAGATTTTGGACTCTGTCGAGATAAAGTTTGGGAATAACACGTCGAATTGCATTACGCGCATGCAGGACATCCTCGTTTCTTGCGAAACCAACGATTCAATTGGATTCGTCAATGGTACGCACTGGTCATTAACGCGCGACCTACATCGGGATTGCAGTAGTAACAACAGCGGCAACCGTCGTGGGAAAAGCAGCTCGTGTTTCGTAAACTACCTACACGAAGTTTCCGCAGAGCGCAAATCGCGTCTAAGCCGGTGCGCACCGGAGCGACGTGGAAATGCATTAAGGATGCAAACATCAATTCGTGCGAGTTCGCGAGCGCTCCGAATTACCTGCAATGAATTATTAGCGTCCGTTTAATAAATGATCGAGCCACGTCCAATCGGAACGAGGAAACAATTATTCGAGACACGTGGAATTAGGTAGCTTACAACATCAACACCGAAATCGTCGCCCACACCGGATGACATTAATATTACACGATATATATCAAAGATGTAACTGCATTTGAACCGCACATAAGGAGTCATTGATAGTCCTAAGAAATTCGACGTAAGATTTTGATTGTAAAAACATCACATATAATTAACAATGATAAATTACTGATGCTTTTAACAGCAATCAACATTCATCAATGTTACAACAATAACGATGGCTATAATAATACTGTAATACGATAAAGTAGAGAATATAGGATCTCAGCTGTCATCGTCAGTCTGTTTGTCGTCGTGCCATAGTTAATTGGAAGTTGAAGCACGCCGAGAGACCACTTTACCCCCGTGCACGACGAACCATGCTTCTCTGTGTAGTAATTGACTCGAGTTAACGGATACTGGCTCAAGAGAGCCGCTGATTCCCCTCATCCGCTCTCCTTGGTCCAACTTAAACGATGCTGCAAGCATTTACGGTTTACCATCGTTTACCTAACCGAGGCTAGAAGAGACAAGTTATAGTGACACAATAGCTCATTCGATGCGCTACTGAATTTACAAATCGATGCTTTGTCGATTTCCTTACTTTAGAAATTTATTATTAATTATTATTGCAAAAATTACCATCCGTTATCAGTTCTAAAGTATTCAATAATATTAATCAAAATTATCTTTTGAGATGTTTTCATGTATACTCTGATGAATTTTATTTTAATAATATTTCTATCTACGTATAATTTTATTCGTCTTTGATTTTAAAATGTTGCTAATATATGCAGATAGATAATAATTATTGCAACAAATTATTGCATCAGTCAAAGACGATTCAAGTGCGATTCAATTGCACTAGTTTCGCATCTGTTGCAGCTTTAATATCGCCATATTCATGATTAAGTTGCAAGTCTCTTGTAATTCGAAGGAACGTTGGCAAAATTAATTAGGTTCTTAATCATCAAAACGCCAATGTAAGCAAAAATGAAGGAAAGTTCAAAAGAGAATTCTCTACTCTTTCTAGCAATAAAGAGAGAAATATATACATGCATATACTGCATGCAGATGAGAGAAAGAGGAAGAGAGAAAGAGAGATAGAGAAATAACAGCAAAGCGCCTCACGAAAATTAGCAACCTGGTGCAAGGATGAATATGAGTAAAAGGAAACGGGAAAAAAGGAAGAGAAAAAGAGAAAAGAGACACTAAGTCGCGAAGCGTAATAGAGTCCTCGTGGACTTCTCTTGGGTTATGAAATTCGCCCAAGCCTTCGTTAGTACCTTCGACTTTATCTTAAGAAAGAAAGCATGAAAGGAAGGGAAGTGGGTCGACGCGGTCTGCCAACGAGATGCACCAGCGCGAATTAATGTTTTCACGACCTACTCCTATGATTACAACATGCGGCTCTATCCGCGTATCTGCTACTCCGCAATTCCCTTGCAATCAATCTGTCCAACAATGGTATCGCTACCGTCTCCTAGATAAGAATTTTTTTCTGTTATCGCTCTCAAGATACCTGAATGTAAATAATATACGAGAATTTTATTTTACGTTGTAAATATACGACAATTTTTTTCAATTACAATAACATTTTAGCACCGTCAAAATTTGAGTGTTTTTGAAAGTCTTCATTAAACTTAAAAACAAACATTCTGTCGACTAATCACAAATTTAACGCAGGATAATATGTTGCACGTATTTTTCACCGTACAGAAGAATATCATCGATTAACTCGTTGGTACCAATAACGGAGTCTGTTGAAATCAAACGGCATGATATGCAACAGGTGCAACGAAATTACCACGAAAGAAAATGTCGAATAACAAAAAAGCATGAAAAGTCGAAAATACTTGTATGATCTTCTTGTCATTTTTCAGTTCTAAGAAAATTTTGCATACTCTCTTATATGTATAATAAAAAACAGATGCAAAAGAGAATTTGACGAATTTGACAAATAATTGATTAAATTGAAAACCAAAAATAAAGCGTAATATTTCGAGCTTTTTAATTATTTTATAAAAGCACTTTAATAACCTTTAACAGAACTTTTTTGACAATTGTTTAATATAAGCTTTAAAAATTGTTAAATTAAAAATAATATAATGTAGGAAACCAAGAATCTTTATTCTCTAATTTTTCATAAATTTTATTTTGATTTTTCTCTTTATTTTTAAGTTTCATAATTTAAATGTTTAATTTTTAAATTTCATAATTTAAAATAATTTGAAAAAATCAAAATTGCATGCATTGACGTAGATGTATATTTAATTATCAATTAAACCGATATTTATTGACAATACACATGCATATAAGAGCGAATACGATCGATAGACATAACAATGCGTCTCACGGTGACGTATCTTAACGAAAGCCATTTTCGCATTTTTATTACTCGAACGCGGAGAAACGAAACAGGAAAGAAATCGCGAGGACGCGTACAGGGGGCTCGACGCGGAATAAAATGCTTTGTATCGGAAATAGAAGGTATAGAAATAGAGC